CACATTTTCCTGAAGTTTACATAGACCATTCTCCAGAATAGACTATGTTAGGCCAGCAAACAAGTCTTAATAAACTTAAAAAGATTGAAACCATACAAAGTATCTTTTCCAATCAAAATGGCGGGAATTTAGAAATAATTAACAGAAGAAAAACTGAAAAATTCACAAAATATGGATATGAAACAACACACTGTTAAACAACCAATAGGTCAAAGAAGAAATCACAAGAGAAATTAGAAAATACCTTGAGACAAATAAAAACAAAAACACAATGTTCCAAAACTTACATGATATAGTGAAAGTACTGCTAAGATGGATATTTTTAAGTGCAAACACTTACATTTGAAAAGAAGAATGATCTCAAATAAATAATCTAATTACACTTTAAAGAACTAAAAAAAAAAAAAGAGCTAAACTCAAAGTTAGAAGGAAGAAGGAAATAATAAAGATTAGAATAGAGATAAATAAAACAGAGAATAAGAAACAATAAAGAAAAATCAACAAAACCAAAGCTGATTCTATGGGAAGATCAAAATTGACAAATCTTTTACTTAGAATGACTAAGTAAAAAAGAAGACTCAAATTATTAAAATTAGAAGTGAAAGTGGGGACATTACTACTGATTTTACAGAAATAAAAAGATTTATAAGGGAATACTATGAACAATTGTACAGAAACAAATGAGGTAACCTAGATGAAATGTACAACTTCCTTAAAACACATGATCTACCAAGACTGAATAATGAGCAAATGGAAAATCTGAATAGACCTATCACTAGTATGGGGTTGAATCAGTAATCAAAAACTTTCCAGCAAAGAAAAGCCCTGGACCAGATAGCTTCACTGGTGAATTCTACAAAACATTTAAAGAAAAATTAATGCCAATCCTTCTCGAGTTCTTCTAAAACATTGAAGAGGGAGGAAGAAACATTTTCTAATTTATTCTAAGAGTCCAGCATTCCCTTGATCTGAAAGCCAGACAAAGACCCTACAAGAAAACTACAGACCAATATCCCTTGTAAATATTGATGCAAATATCCTCATCAAAATACTAGCAAATCAAACTCAGCAGCAAATTTTAAAAGATTATACACCACAACCAAATGAGTTATATTCCTGGAATGCAAGGAAGGTTCAGCATATGAAAATCAATCAATGTAGTACACCACATTAATAGAAATGGAGGAATTAAAAAACATGATCATTTGAACTGATACAAAAAATGCATTTGACACATTTCAACACTCTTTTATGGAAAAAAAAACACTCAACAAACTACATAGTTGATGAAATTGGTCTCATTACCATTAATCCTTTCTCATACATAAAGATTTCCAAATACTTCAATATGGGAATAAACGAGGGAGGAAGAACTTGTGAAAGGATGAAGTCCAGGGGTTTGATGAAAACAGATGGAAAGTGTAGCTAGAATTCCTGGATTTGGCATTCAGAAATACTCTGTTTTCTTCACTACATTTTTATCCAGTTGTTGAGTTAGAACACCCATGATATGAAAAGGCTGACTTCCAAAATATGCTATTAATTTTGATAATGAATGCTGGTTGTCAGAGAGAAAAGCCTTTTGTAAATAAGTGACTCAATTTTTCCTTATCTGCTCTAACAATGATCTTCTATTTCTCATTCAAAAAGTGACAGCATCTCTTATTTTAAAAAAAAGGAATGATGCTATGTCATCTGCAGAAGCCAAACCTTAGAATCTAGATAGAAACACATCAGAAAAGAAAGGAGTATGCGATATTCTTTAACTGCAGGAGTCCATTTGCTTTATTCTTTACAATTTTGAGAAAAACACTTGAGGTGAGGTCACAATAGGCTAAATTTTCCTTCTTTAAAGAGAAAGCATGTTTAAATTCTCAAACTAAAACATAACCACTCCCTCCTCACATGTTTAACACATGTTAAAAATGTGATGGCTGAAGCAACCAAAAAGATGGATTAAAACAGAGGGGATTCAAGCATCAGAACAGCTATTAGACAAGATGAGTTTAATATTCCTGCCAATAGGAAGATTTACAATTCCAAAGAAAAAAACTCAGACCTTAATCCTAGTGACATAAATAAAACTGTTACACTATTTTATTCTTCCAAAAAATGGATCTAAGACCAAAACATAAGAGTGAAACTACACAATTCTTAAAGAAAACATATGAGAGAGAAGATCCTCATGACCTTGGGCTTGGTAATGCTTTTTTGGCTATGACACTGAAAACACAGGCAACTAAAGAAAAACAGATAAATTGGATTTTATCAAAATTGTAAACTTTGTGATTCAAAAGACACTATCAAGAGAGTGAAAAGGCACTCCACAGAATGCGAGAAAATATCTGCAAATCATATCTGATAAGACGTTAATATTCAAAATATATTAAAGAATTTCTAAAACTCAACAACAAAAAAACACCCAATTAAATAGTCAAAGGACCTGAATAGACATATCTTCAAAGGAGATAAACAAATGACCAATAAGCACATGAAAAGGTGAAACAACACTAATCGTTAGGGAAATGCAAGTCAAAACCACATTGAGATACCACCTCACTCCCATTAGGATGGCTATTGTTGGAAAAATAAAAAATAGCAAGTGTTGGCAAGGATGTGGAGAAAATGGAACTCTTGTACATTGCTGTGGGAATGCAAATGGTGGAGTCACTGTGGAAAGTAGAATGATAACTTCAAAAAGTTAAACACAGGATTACCATATGACCCAGCATATCCAGTTCTAGGTATATACCCAAAAGAATTGAGAGCAGGGACTCCAGCAGGTATTTGTACACCAATATTCACAGCAGCATTATTCACAATAATGAAGTATCAATACATATAACATGGATGAACTTAAAAACATTCTGAAATAAGCCAGAAACAAAAGGACACATACTGTATGATTCCATTCATATGAGGTACCTAAAATAGACAAATTCATAAGGACAGAAAGTAGAACAGTGGTTGCCAAAGGCTGGGGGGAGGGGGATATGAGGAATTATTGCACAACATTGGATGAATGTACTTAACGCCACTGCATTGTACACTTAAAAATGGTTAAAATGGTAAATATTAATTTACGTGTATTTTACCACAATAAAAAATCTTTAAGGCACCAAGAAATGGGGGAAAATATTAACAGCTGTAAAAACAGTTGCATCAGCAAAAGATCCTTCTCAAAATTAAAAATTATCAAATATTACTTGCCATCTTACATTTGCCAAGAGCAACTGACATAGTTTTCAATTATATCAATTGAAAATGAAGTTGTTAAAAGTATAAACTTTGTTGGCCTAATGAAAGAATTTTTAGAAAAGTCAGAAAAATTCTACTATCAAGCAAGATATCTCATATTTATAAAGTATTATTATATTATATAAGATTATGACACCAAAAATACTTTTTAAAATTTATGTTTATATTGTTACTCATGTATTACTATAACTTCTATTATAGTTTACAAAGAATAAAACATTTTTAAAGGAAAAATCTTTGTATTTAATATCTTTAATGGCAGTTTCCCCTGCTTTTGGAGAGGGAGCTCTGCATTTTTGTTTTGACTGTGTGCCACAAATTATGTAGCTGTCCCTGGTCCCAGATTTACCATAGCCTGGCCTGCTTTCACCAAGTCATTTAATTTTTGTGTTTCAGTTTTCTGACCTCTCAAATGGGAACAATATTTACCCACTTCAAAGAACTGAAGTGAGTGTGTGTGTGTGTGTGTGTGTGTGTGTGTGTGTGTGTGTGTGGTCTGGAAAAGTATAGGTGCTTTAAAATATTGGGTGGCATTGCTGTTAATATGAATATTTTTTAAACCACTACTCTTCCTGGAATCTGAGTCTTTAGACAAACACATTTCTTATCGTGTGTGTGTGTGTGTGTGTGTGTGTGTGTGTGTGTGTGTGTGTGTGGTTTGGAAAAGTATAGGTGCTTTAAAATATTGGGTGGCATTGCTGTTAATATGAATATTTTTTTAACCACTACTCTTCCTGGAATCTGAGTCTTTAGACAAACACATTTCTTACCTAAAATGAAGAAATTCATTATTTTCTATGGGGCTTTTCAGGCATATGAGAAAGCAGCTAAATGATTCATTTGGTCCACTTGGTCCAAAAAGGTATCATTTTTATAGACTGGTCATTTTATAGATGGTATTTCTTCACATGACTAAAAGCAAACTATAAACTAAAAGTGATGCCAAAACACTAGACTTCAGTCAACAATCTTAAAGCCTAAAATCTCAAATAGACTTTCTGATAAACCCCCTGATGTTTAAGTAACTCAAAGAAAAAACATTAGCAGAGCTGAGTACCCCAGAACTGTCCTTGTGCCATCTGTAGTTCTCATTATCTTATGACCTAATAATGCCGAGTATAAATAAAAGATACTGCTGTAAATAGATGCCAAAATGCCCCAGCACTCAGATGGCCACATTTAGGAGCTCTGCCAGATTACAGTATGTATGAGTCTGAGAGCTAAATAGAGACCACGGCAGAGGCTGGGATCTCAGATCTGAACTCCTACTTAGTGCACACTTCAAGCACACTCCCGCTTGTGGGTAAAAGTGACACTGTTAACCCACCATCATGGGGGTTTCCTGAGCCCTTTGCACACCCTCCTGCATCTCTCTAGAGACCATATGTAGATGACTGACTTAGGGGTGTGGCTAGGACCCTGGGACAAGCTCTTGTGTCAAGCGGGTAGCACTGAAGTGCCACACTTATAATGGATCCATAGATTAAGAAGCTGGCGAGGGTAGAATTGCAAATGCCCCACTGATCCATCTCTCAGAAGTTGGCCAACATCACCCTCCTCCAGGGTGTGGACTCCACTTTGAAGTTTCTCTCTCACTGGCCATCCCTCAGACAGGCCCTCCCAGCGCCTGACCTTCGCCCTCTTTCTAATTGCCCTGATCTCATCCTAACCTCCATAGCTATGTTTAAAGTCCACCTCTGGGAACACACAGATTGAATGTTCCAGTTAATCCCTTTCCCTGTCCTGCCTGACATCTGGCCGGTGGGCTGTGCGCCTGGACTTCCTGGGACACTGGCTGGGATTTGAGGAGGGAACTTAGCACCTACCTGGCTGCAGGATGAAGCTGGCCACCGGCTTCTTGATACTGTGGCTTAGCCTGGGGGGTGGCCTGGCTCAGAGCGACACCAGCCCTGATGCAGAGGAGTCCTATTCAGACTGGGGCCTTCGGCGCCTCCGGGGCAGCTTTGAATCTGTCAACAGCTACTTCGATTCCTTCCTGGAGCTGCTGGGAGGGAAGAATGGAGTCTGTCAGTACAGGTGCCGATACGGTGAGTGTACGGTTTCTCTTCCCATAAAAATGATGACTAGTGGACCTGTTGGCAGCCCCAGAAGGGTCACAATTTGCCACGTACTTTTTCCTGTTCTCCACCTCTTAGGTAGAGTTTCCAGATTTAGCAAATAAAAATATAGGACACCCAGTGAAATTTTGGCCATTTTAATGAGTTTGTTGAGTGCTGGTAATACCAAGGTCAAGGGTTCGGATCTCCTCACCAGCCACCCGCCCCCCAAAAAAGAAAGAAAGGTTAGGGTGGGGACAAAGAGTGAGGGAGGACCCTGTGAGGACTGCCTAGGGGTGTACACTCACAGCTCGCTCCTCTGAGAAAAGAAAGGTTAGGGTGGGGACAAAGAGTGAGGGAGGACCCTGTGAGGACTGCCTAGGGGTGGCAACTGAAGCTGGAGTTGTACACTCACAGCTCGCCCCTCTGAGGTCGCTCCTCTGAGATTTCCCCTTCCCCTGCTGCAGTTCGCACCTTCCTGCTGGCTCTGCCAGCCTCTCACGGGCACCAGGTTGCCGGACTCTGCCGAGCCATCTCCGCCCCCGTCTGCAATGGCAGGCCCGCCTTGCTGTCCTAGGGACCAGAGGGGCCGAGGCCAGACCTAGACTTGCGAGCACCTACCCTACCCTGCCTGAGCTGTGAAGAGGGTCCGCAGGGGCCAGGGAGCAGGCCGGGCTGCACGGAGGCCGCCCGTGTGACTTCCAATGGGGACGAAAAGGTTTCGGAAGCAATCATGGGCTCACGGAGCCTTAATTTTATAGTTTAGTTTATCAAATGTCCCATCGTGGGATCAGAGATGAAAATGGTGCATCAGTTAAGTCGAGCAGGAAAACATCCGTGGGGAATCTTTGCTCCAAACACTCAGGTTTGGAGAGACTCAAAAACACCACATGACAGCTCGCCCCTCTGAGGTTTCCCCTTCCCCTGCTGCAGTTCGCACCTTCCTGCTGGCTCTGCCAGCCTCTCACGGGCACCAGGTTGCCGGACTCTGCCGAGCCATCTCCGCCCCCGTCTGCAATGGCAGGCCCGCCTTGCTGTCCTAGGGACCAGAGGGGCCGAGGCCAGACCTAGACTTGCGAGCACCTACCCTACCCTGCCTGAGCTGTGAAGAGGGTCCGCAGGGGCCAGGGAGCAGGCCGGGCTGCACGGAGGCCGCCCGTGTGACTTCCAATGGGGACGAAAAAGTTTCGGAAGCAATCATGGGCTCACGGAGCCTTAATTTTATGGTTTAGTTTATCAAATGTCCCATCGTGGGATCAGAGATGAAAATGGTGCATCAGTTAAGTCAAGCAGGAAAACATCCGTGGGGAATCTTTGCTCCAAACACTCAGGTTTGGAGAGACTCAAAAACACCACATGCTTCCTGGACTCACCCCTAAGTCTCTCCCTTTTTATCTCTGAGCAAAGGAAGTCGCTTCCTCATGCACTAAGAGTGACTGGCAGATAATGGGTAACCATTGCTCCAGAAACAAAAGTTCTGCAGCATAGAAGTTTCAACCACGTAGGAAAATGACTTAAAAAAGGACGCTATACCTTCTCTGAAAAGTTCATAGGGTACAAAGCCTAAAAAGTTGGGGGCCCACGTGTACCCCTAGCCACGGATTTTACCAAGGTTGGCCGGACAAGTGCAGAGGCCTTGCCACTGGGTTATGTTCACCCAGTTTGCACAGATGGAGCAGGGAGAGGTTAACTTGCTTCTGGCATTTCAATTAACACAGGTGTTTTCCTTCCTAGAGGCAACACAAGACTAATATCTGTGGTTTAGCAAATAGATAACAGCACAATTTTTTTTTTTTTTTAAGGAAATCAAGAACCAAACTCTTCCTTATCTAGCAAAATAGCATTAGGAGTTCAGCAGAGTTTAGCTGCAGAGGCTCTGGCAGGCAGGGTCGATGTCAGCAGCAACCAGTGGGGGATGGGAATAGTCAACAGAGAGATAACAGGAGGCAAATAACTGCTCTGGCTCAGTGCAAAACAGAACCTGCTCAAGGAGGGGCCTGGGAGACACTTAGAACCCAGTGGAGCCGTGAACCTGGACGCTGTGCCCAAAGAGCACAAAATAACTTCTCTACTTGACTGTCAATCAAACAATCTTTTGAACAGGTGACGCCTATGTGTCTCTGTCCCTTTTTAGCTTGTTTTGAGACACACCTTTTGTGCACAATGCTTCTCTTCTGTCTTTAGAGCAGTGGTTCTCCAAGACGCATTGAGTTCCCGGAGGGCTCCAACAGATTGCTGGGCCCCGGCCCCGTGTTTCTGATTGGCAGGTCCTCAGTGGGGCCAGAGAATTTGCTTTTCTAAGAGTTCCCGGGTGCTCCTTATGCTGCTGGTCATGGGACCACACTGAGAGAAAAAACAAAACAAAATGAAACAAAAAAATCTCTTAAGGACTACCAACTTTTGCCAGAAGGAACAATTTACCAACGGTTCACAAGAAAAACATTTGCATTTGATAGGCACTTACTACTATTTGAAACAGTGGCTTTCTACTTTAGCTACACATTAGAATCACCTGAGGGGCTTTAAAAACTCCTACCACCAAACCAATTAAATCAGAATCTCTGTGGGTTGGGCCCAGACATCAGTATTTTAGCATTTCCCAGGTGATTACAAAGTGCAGCCAAGGTAAAGAGCACTATTCCAAGATACCATCCGTGGGGAACTTCTGCCCATAGGTTAAATTATTCAGGCAGATAAAGGTGCATTTGGATCCTGACAACCTACAATAGCATGTCAACATTGTTTTCCACAGTTCTTATATCTAAAGTAATTCATTTTCATGTCAACACACAAAATCTGTACTTGTCAAAGGACTGGGCTATAAATATGACAAGATTCAGTGTATGTCAATAGCATACGTAGCACAGCAGGGTATTAAGGAGTCTGCAGCCATGCAAACAAGATTTCCTTGAGAGTCTTTTTTAAAATATAGACTCCCTTTTCCATCCCCAGAGATTCTGATTTAGTAGGTCTGTGGTAGGACCCTGGGAGTGTGCTTTTAACAGGTGGTCCTGAGGCAGGAGAGAATAGGGACACGCCCCCAGGGAGGCCGCTCATAAATATTCAGACTGGATCAGAATTAACTGCCGCCTAGCCTGGCAGTTAATGAACCCATAATGAGCTGATGACAGCTTAACCCCCCATCCAATCAGCATGCTACACCTGGAAGTTTGCAGTTTACAACCCCCCCCCCCACACCTGCACACTAGGAGGAACAAAAGTGCAGACACCCACTCTACAACCTTCCACCCTTGATGATAAACAGGAAAGGACAAAGTTAAGGGAAGAGCGACTCCTCTGAGCATGGCCAAAAACTTCAGAAAGTCACGGATGCATGACAGGAAGCTGATGCAACTTCGTAGCAATGCATTAGATCTTAATTACCCTAGATCCTCCTCCATGCCTGAATATCCCTCCCCTTAGTTAGGATAGAGAAACACCCCATCCCAGAGCAGAATACAGACCCTCCCTCTAAGAATCGGGGTGGGGGTGGGGGCTCCTGACTTGTGGGGGATGCCTGTGTACACTTCTGTGTATACTTTCACTTTGTAATAAAGTCCATTGTTTAAATGTTCTGTCTGTCTGTCCCTCCTCCTTTCCTTTGGCCCTATGGGTGCTCACCATGATGTGGGGTCCACTCTGTCCTGTGGAAAATTTTTCTCCATGGTTTGACCAAGAACCTAGAACTGCCATCTGGTAACGGTACTTGAATCAGCCTTTGAGAAACACTAGTAATGGAAAAATCCTGAGTTTAAATTTGGGGGGTAAATCCCATTGCTGGTGCAACTTTAGTTTCCTCATATACTTGTATATGTAAATAATGGTAATAATACCTACCTTGCAAGGTTATTGTGAGAATGAAATATAATATATAGAGAATTAGTGGTATGTATGGAGCATGGTAGGTACCAAATTTTATAACTGTTATGAGAAAGACAGTATATTGAACAGGTTCAATGCATCCAGATTCTTACAGTTCTCTTTCAACATAAAATTTTAAAATCCCAGAGATCCCAGCGGCTGGATAACACCCTCTCAGCTTGTGGAAGAAGTCCCTTGAAGAAATGATGATTTAAGCATTCTCTGCCTTATGAAGGTCCCCAGAGCAAAGTTTCTATAACCATTAGAGATACGTCCGCACTGACACACTTTAGTAAAAGGAACTCATGGTGGCTTTCTTTTCGGGTTTAGTTCCAAGAAAAAAAGTATCTTTAAATATCAGTCTTTTTAAATAAAAGAGACCTTTTTATCTGTCTGAAATCTTAGAGCAAAATTTTATGAAGCTGCAAGTTTGTATATTTTTTCAGGGAAAGGATTCACAGCATTCATCAGATTCTCAGGGGGTGCTGGCCAGTTGGCTCACTTGGGAGAGCGTGGTGCAGGTGATGCTGAGGCCAAGGGCTCAGATCCCGGTGCACACCAGCCACCAAAAAAAAGAAAAAAAAAGAAAAGAAAGCAGCCATTGGCTTAGAAGTACGCAGACTGTTGTCGTGCTAGGGTGACCACCCTCCCAGGTAGTTGGAGACTGAGGAAGGAGGTGGGGATTCCTGGGATGTGGGACTCTCAGTACCAAACAGGGACAGTCCCAGGCAAACCAGGACGAGTTGGTTAACCCAGTCTCATGCAATAACCTCATCTGTTTCAGGGACTAAAATAACAGAGTTCATTACTTCAGTAAAACTGTCACTGTTCTGCTTTGTTCTGTGTTACTCCTGCTGCATCCCAGCAGGCCTGGAAGGTGGCAGCAGACGCGTTTCCAACAGGGACCTGCGCCCCTGGCCGGCACCTGCCGTGGGACCAGCTGGGTGGGCAGAAGCGAAGCCCCAGACCTGGGACGCAAGGCTCCAGGAGTATTTACTGTTCTTTTCAGTGACAAAACTGATAGAGGAAAAAGGGTGGCCCAGGAGGCACTGTCGTGGCCGACGGTAGAGCTCGTCTTTCACGGTCGACGCTTCCTCAGTTTCCCTCCAGCTTGTCTTCCAAGTGCTTAATGGTTTTCACTTTATTAAGAAGGTTTTACGTTTTATAAGGTCAAATGTGTCGGTCTCTTTCTTTCTGGCTTCTGAATTTTAAGTCTTGATTAGAAAACCATCTCCACACCAAGATTATAACAATCTTCAGCCATTTTTCCGTGAAAACAGCCATAACTGATCCAAAATACACAGTGTGGTTGTGTCCCGATGAACTTTCTTATGGATACTGAAACTTTAATTTCATATAATTTTCACATCATAAAATATTATCTTTGTTTTTACTTCTTTGAGGAATAAGGAGGAAGGACTTTAAAACGCAGACTTCGTATTTAAAAATTAAAACAGAAATATGAGAGGAAAAGGGGCTTCGACTGTATCCATATTGTATCTGAACTGTAACATTTAATTAAATAGAAAAAATATTTATAGCCAGTCTAGCAAATGTTAACATTTATTATGTTTGTGCAGTGGGTACATAAGTGTTTGTCTCTTTCAGTTTTGAAATATTTCATAATACAAAATAATTGAAAATAAATACTAGGTAGGAGAAGATTAAAGGAAAAAAAGAAAACAAACTATGCATCTCACTCCGAGGATTAATTCTCAGCATATTTCCTCAGTCTTATCTAAAAAGAAGCAGAGATATGGTGGAAACACATGGAACAAACAAGAAATCTGAACTTCTGACCTATTTCCCCCACTTTCTGCTTAACTTTATGCAAGTCATGCAACCTCTTAGCCCCATATTCTTTAACTGGAAAATGGGAGAAAATATCCAGTGCAGATGACTGTTCTGAGGTCATCTCAGGTCAACTTTCCCCCACTTTCTGCTTAACTTTATGCAAGTCATGCAACCTCTTAGCCCCATATTCTTTATCTGGAAAATGGGAGAAAATATCCAGTGCAGATGACTGTTCTGAGGTCATCTCAGGTCAACTTTATCTTTAACATATGATGACTGCCATTGATACAACTGACAAAGCTTCTCTCTACAAATCTGCAAGATCACAAAGTAACTCAAAAGCCATGTGGAAGGAACGAAGAACGTAAAAGCTCTTCAGATTGTTTCTGCTTAGTTCTCTGATACAAGTAATCGGGGTGTTTTCTTTGCTCTTCGGTCAGTACTGCTTGTCCGCACATATGTAATTGTGCTAAACTTCCTGCACGTTAATCTGAGACACATTTGTGGTACTGTTAAAATTCCCGTTCCTTAAGTGTATGATCAGGTAATGTTCTCTCTGTTCTGTGGGTGGTGCGTGGTCTTCCAGTGGCTAGAGGAGGAAGAGACCTTGAGTTTTAGTTCGGTTTTTCCACAGCCCTTATCTTCAAGGTCATAAACTTAAATGTTAGAGCTGTTAGTAAATAAATGCCCCTAAAATTCTTTGAGATGAGGAGAAAAATGTCAAACTGGTCTGAAGGTTGTTATTCTTTTATGACATCATCATCATCATCATCACCTAATTTGGATATGAATATCTGGTGAGGAACAGTGACTTTTAAAGAAAAAATAGAATGTACCTAAAAATAAATTTTCACTTGATGAATGTTCCCAAATATTTGATTTCTAAATATTTCTTCCTGCTTCTTTCCTCTTTTCCTCCTGTTAGGAAAAGCACCAATGGCCAGACCCGGCTACAAGCCTCAGGAGCCCAACGGCTGCAGCTCCTATTTCCTGGGCCTGAAGGTACCAGAAAGTGTATGTACTGCCAGCTTCACCACTTTGGTTGATTGGTTTTAACTAAGAGTAGTGCAAGAGTTATCACTGCTGGAAGTGATCATTTATGGAACCTAGTTGAGCAATATACTTCGGTATTTTGAATTGGACGTGGAGGAAGGAGACAATTTTCAAAGAAGATATCTATTTCCTTTTCTTGGAGGCAGCTGTCCCTCACTTAAGCACTTGGTAGTGCATCAGAACTTTGAAATCACCACTGCAAATATCAGCTGAAATTTAGGGTCACAAAACATAACTTAATCTGAAATAGAGCTGACAAGTTTGACTCATTTTAATTAGTGAGCCATTTCAGTGACGTGCTGGCGAGACCCGATTGCTATATTGTCCTGACTTTTGTAAGGGGCTGACTTCACATTGATAGCGTCAAATCAGCTATGTTTCAGATCAGAGAAATCT